CTTCTATCTTAATAGTTTAGCCAGGGCCGGCTGAGTGGCTCAGTTGGTTAAGAGCTCGCTCAAGAGTTTGAGCTCTGAGGAACAGTGGTTTGAGTTCCAGCCCAAGCTGAGCAGCCACTGAGCTGCCAACAGGTAGCAGAATGGCAAAAAAAAAAAAAAAAAAAAAGTTTGGCCAATAAATTTTGTGTGGAATATAATCATTGCAAACTACTTTCTACAGTCTAATCTTGGAGCCTTAATAATCACATTTTTACCAATTACCTGTGAGGCTCTATTATCTTCGAGAAAGGACACCTCACTTTTTGTCTGTGTAATACAGTTTGAACATGATTTCTGTGCAAATTGGTAATCAGACAGGGATTGTGGAGTTATAAATGACAATCTGAGAGCTAGAACAGTCCATTGAAAGAATCTATTCCAACCCCCTCGTTTTGAATTGAAAGAAAGACAGCACAGAAGAGATGTTCCCAATTGTTCCAGGGCCTGGAGCCCCATCATAGCAGAACCAGGACCACATATTCTGACTCCTGGAGTCTTGGGGCCATCCCATAACTCCATTCTTCTCCCACCTCCAGAGGCATCTGTTCCTATTGACATCTCCTAATACGAAGACTTAATAAGAATTTCCAGAAGGATGGCTGAGTGGCTCAGTTGGTTAAGAGCTTGCTCAAGAGTGTGAGCTCTGAGCAAAAGGAGTTTGATTCCTGGCCTGAGCTGACCTACTGCTGAGGTTGGCAGGAAGGCTCAGATAAAAAAAAAAAAAGAATTTTTGATACCTTTTTAAAAGAGTTACACATTTTGTGATGTCAATTCTTAGATTTCCCTGGATCCCAGGGTCAGAGTTAGGTCAAGAGTCTCAAAACTCTAGGGAATTCTTAGCTTTCTGCCTATTTCTATCTGCACATAAAATTAATAAAATAATTAAATCACTCCCTCTCTTATTCATTCAACAAACATTTCTTGGATACTATTATGTACCAGACCTAATCCCTAGGCCTAATCCATGGGTTAAGAATTACTTTCACCCAATATACACACGATATTTTTTTTTTAAGATTTTTATTGGGGAATTGGGGGGATGGGAACAGTGCTGGGGAATTGGGGGAAGGGGAACAGACAAGTTGCTGTCATTTTGTTNGCCCGAGCTGAGCAGCCGCTGAGCTGCCAACAGGTAGCAGGATGGCTCAGCTAAAAAAAAAAAAAAAAGAAAAGAAAAGACTGAAAGGGATTACAACAAAAATTCTGTCAGCAGCTATGTCAGGATAATGGGGATGATGGGTGATTTCCCCTCCCCCATTTTTCCTCTAATGGAAATGCTCTGGAATGTGCTTATGTTGATTTATAATGGAAAACAATGTGAAAGCTATTATGCAAACTTAAAAAAAAAGAAAGCCATTGATGGACCAGCCATAGGTAAAAGGTGTTAGACAAGTTTTGTAAGGTGTGTTTTCTTCATCATGGAAATCCTAAAATATAGCTGAGGTACTGATTAGGAAGCAGGGGTCAAGGAGGATATCCCTGTCTCTATCATTTACTTTCACTTGCTTTTTTGAGTCCTAGAGTTAGTTGCTATTACCTCCAAACAAGTTCAAGTCTAGAGACAATCATTTGACACCTGAAGGTTTTATCCTGGGTGTGGCTCCAGAAGTGATGACAAAATAAAATGAGGATTAAAACATAAGCTTTAAACTCAATCCTTTATGTGTTAAAATGACACTGGTGTGTCCTTAAGCAAATAAATCTCTAAAGTTTAGTAATTCACAGCCTAGTGGAAGGATTGTATCTCTTGCTGCTTTCTTACTCTCTCATCCGTGCAAACACAAGCTTACAAAATACTTCAACCTGTGGTGGACACAACCTGTGGCTGTGAAACTCTATTTTCAGAGTAAGTCCCAGTTCACTTGAAATGGGGCACTAAGACTAAGACAGTGCTTTTGAAATTTGCCGTAGTCATTGTTAATATGGGAACAAGACCAGTATTGTCATATACATAACAACATTTTTCCAGAATTTCTCAACATCTCATATGTATATAAAATTTTGTAGAAAACTCTAAAACTCACTGCAAAGTTTCCAGAATTGGAAAAACACTATTTCCAGCACCACAGCCAACCTAAAATCAAAAGAACAAACAAACATCATGAAAACAAGGTTAAATTTTCCTCACCAATGTCTGATTTTTTATTTAAAAAAACTATCAAAATTTACTGAATCTCTGGTATGTATAGAAGAGTTTTCTAAACTCAAAAGCAGTGGAATAAGTCACAAGAATAATACCGAGAAATTTGACTATGGAAACATTAAAAACTTTTTACACAACAAAACCCCAAATAAACCAAATTAAAAGGTGACCAACACACTGTGAAAAAAACATTTGCAATAAATGTGATAAAAAGCTGAGCTCATTAAAAAACAAAACAAAACAACAACAAAACTACACGCAAATAAGCAAAGAAAACAAATAGAACACAAAAGAAGTACAAATGGCTTCTAAACATTTGAAAAGCATATGACCTATTTAATAATAAAAAAATAGAAATTGAAACAAGGTGTAATTTTTGTCTAACAAAGCGAAAAGCACTAAAATAAGAATACTGCAATCAATGAGGGTGTGATGAAACAGGCATACACTGCAGTGAACTGGTATTAGTACAACTTCTTGGAAAGCAATTTGGCAATACATTTTAAGAGTATTAAAATTTTTGGTAAGTTATGAACTTGTAAATCTAACCCAAGATAATAAAAGAAAATGTGGAAAAGTTTACACCCAACAATGTTTCCTGTAGAAACCTGAAAACAATTTAAATACCTAGTTAGTGTGAAAATAGATAAGTAGAATTATAGTACTCCACACAGCAAAATATTTTGCAGCCCAAAAATGTTTATAGAAAATTTTAAAGATAGAGAAAGCAGCTTATGACATTATGGTATAGTACAGTATAGCTCAACTATATAAAACAATAAAAACAATAAAATGTTTTCAATAGCTAAATCCCTTGTTTGTGGGATTACAATTTTATTTCTCTATCTACTCTTTAGCAAGTTCTCTGCAATTAATATATATACTACCTTTATAATGAGAAGGAAAAAGTTTATTTTTAAAAACAGAAAATCAAAGTCTACACCAGATTATAGAAAATTACGAGTATATATCTCAGTTATTTCTATTTCACCAAAAATGGGTTAGTAACAGAAAGAGATAGAAATTAAGGCCAAAACTTTATTGGTATTTAAAACTGCCTTCAAGTTAGAAATTAAAACAGACAAATTAAAACAAAATTAAAATGAGACTGATTAAAGATATGAGACCCTTAATTTTTTTATGTATAAAAGTATACTGAACACATATTTAGTTAGGTTTGATCATTTCCCCCCTAAAAAATCTAGATCATTAATAAAGCAATATGGGATGTACATTTTAAAATCATTTGCTAACTCCCGTCTTTGCCCCTGCAGTACAGTACCTCTAGAATTCTGAAAGTGGCATTGCTACCAGGAAACGGCTCAGTCTTGAGAGGTCCTTTTCTGTGTTCTGTACAGTCTAGGGTAGAAAAATTAGATCCTGCTTTGCTTTGACCATCTGACGAGCCAGAACTTTTCTTATCATGGTTTTCTTCATCAGGTATGGTAGGGCAGTGCATTCTTGAGAAACAATTTGCAGCATTAGTTTTTATATGATCCCATGATAATTCTTTTGCCTTCTTTTCAGTTTTTTGATCAACTGGAAGAATCTCCGGAAATTCCCTCAACAGCCATTTACGATCCTTGAAAAACTTATTCTTGTGAATCTTGTAAAATGTGTCCCAATATTTACTTGCTTCACTCTCATACTTAACTAAAAAAGAGAAAAACAAGATTTATTTTACTATAAATTATATTTATTATTAGTTACTATTTTAATAACGAAATAGATCTAATAGTTAAATCTGTTAAATGTTATATACATTGTCATTATAACAAGTATATTTACTATTGAATAACTTGAATACTATAATAATTTTTTTATTTTTCTGATTTTGGTTTAACCTCTTAAAGGTTAAAACTACAGAATATTAATTCTCTCAAAATGTGTCAGTGTGTGGTGTACTTAGTCCATCTGCTTCTATCTTAATAGTTTAGCCAGGGCCGGCTGAGTGGCTCAGTTGGTTAAGAGCTCGCTCAAGAGTTTGAGCTCTGAGGAACAGTGGTTTGAGTCCTGGCCC